TCATAAAGTAGCCAGAAATATACAACAGAAAAAAGAAAGCATCTTCAACAAGTGGTGCTGGTCAACTGGATGTCTGCATGTAGAAGAATGCAAATAGATTCATATCTATCATCTTGCACAAAACGCAAGTCCAAGTGGATCAAAGATCTCAGCAGAATACCAGATATACTGAATCTGATAGAAGAGAAAGTGACAAATAACCTTGAACAAATGGGCACAGGAGACAACTTTCTGAACAGAACACCAATCGTGTGGGCACTAAGATCAACAATTATTAAATGAAACCTTATGAAACTTGAAATGCTTCTGTAAGGAAAAGGATATAATTGAAAGGACAATATAACAACCTACAGATTGGGAAAAGATTTTTACTAACCCCACATCTGACAGAGGGCTAATATTCAAATTATATAAAAAAAAACTCAAGAAACTAGATGCCAACAAATTAGATAATCCAACTAAAAAATGGGATACAGACCTAATCAGAGAGTTCTCAACAGAGGAATATCTAATGACTAAGAAGCACTTAAAAAAAAATGTTCAACTTTAGCCACCAGGGATTGGAAATCAAAATGATCCTGAGATTCCATACATCTGTCAGCATGGCTAAGATCAGCAAAACAATGGACAGCTCATGCTGGTAAGGATGTGGCACAAAGTGAACACTTCTCCATTGCTGGTTGGGGTGCAAACTTTTACAGCCACTTTGTAAATCAGTATAGCAATTTCTCAGAAAATTGGGAATCAGTCTATCTCAAGATCCAGCTATACCACTCCTGGGCATATACCCAAAGGATGCTCCACTATACTACAAAGACACTTGCTCAACTATGTTCATAGCAACTTTATTTCCAGAAACTGGAAAAAGCCTAGATTTTCCTCAACCAAAACCATGGGTAAAGAAAATGTGGTGCATTTATACAATGGAGTAATTCTTAGCTGCTAAAACCAATGAGGATCTTGAAATCTGCTGGCAAATGGATACAACCAGAAAATATCGTCCTGAATGAGGTAATCCAGATGCAGAAAGATAACCAGGGCATGTATTCACTTAGTCAGCCTGACAGGTGTATGGAATCTCAGAGTCATTTTTACTTGCATTCCCTGATGGCTAAGGTTGAATGCTTCTTGAGTGTTCCTCAGCCATTAGAGATTCCCAGTAATGGGGATATAGAGGCTGGACAAGCCAGCTCCTGTAACAAGGTAAGGTTTCCAGTGGAGGGACTGGGACACCACCTCAGCCATAAAATCTTTGACCTACAATCTGTCTATGAGATAGACTGGGTAAAGGTGATGCAGAAATTGTAGGAGTGGAGAACCAATGACTAGTCCTGCTTGAGACTCAGGCCATAACAAAGGGAGCTCATCACTAACAGTGCCCGGATGGTCAGGAGCCAGAGTCTTGATGGCCCAAAGACCCATGATAGAACCAAACAAGAATGGAAAAAAAAAGTCAATGAAATGATTCCTAATGATATTCTGCTATAGTCATAGACTGGTGTCTAGGCCAATTGTTATCAGAGAAGCTTCACCGAGCATCTGATGGAAACAGATGCAGAGACTCTCCAGCAAAACATTAGGCAGAGCTTGGGAATCCCATGGAACACTGTAGCTGTATATGTAATGCCAACAGCTGAAAACAATCAGCTATGCATGTGTGTAGAAAGAGATAAATGAATTTTAAAGTAAAATGTTTTATACACGAATAAAGGAGCCAACACACAATGGCAGAGTTGACACATGTAGTAGCATAGCTAAATCTGTATTTTATGAAAGATTCCTTCCTTCCTTTCAAGATTTATTTATTTTTATTTATGTGTATGCATTTATGCCTACCTGAGCTTATGTGCAGGTGCCTGTGGGCTCTGGAAAAGGTCCCTTGGATTATAAGCAGTTGAAACAGGAGCTAAGAACCAAACTTAGGTTCTCTTCAAGAACTAAAATAAAACACTTGTCATAGCCTCCAAAGGGACTATATGTTTTTATTATACATTTTTATAATAGCAGCTGTTTTTGTTGCTATGATAGGATCTGACACTGCAGCATAATTTGACTTTGAACTCACAACTCTGCCTCAGCCTCATGAGTGTAGTGACTGTAGATGTGTTCCATCATGGTTGGCTTATAACAGACGATGTTCACATCATTACAGATAGTCATAAACAAAGTCTGGTTTTGCCGCTTGAGGTTAGAAGCTCTATAAAGTTAGGAATATTTTTTTTTTCACTGCTCTTCCTCAAGTATCCAAAATACAAAAAGATTCTCAAATATTTGCTGATAAGGAAAATAAATAAAGACTAGTAATATAAAAATTCTACATTAGATCTCAGCAAAAAGATTGAGAAGTGATGAATATAAACATTCTAAATGTAATCTTATAACATTGAACATACCAATATATTAAGTAAAATAAAATATTTAAAGTCAGCTTATTTTAATAATTAATTTCTACATTATTCTCCAATAGAGTGATGTGAACTGAAATAGAATTTGAATTTGTTTCATCTGAAATTTAACAAATGAAACTGTAAGTATTCAAATGAAAATGTATAGGCCGGGCGGTGGTGGTGGATGCCTTTAATTCCAGTACTTGGGAGGCAGAGGCAGGCAGATCTCTGAGTTCGAGGCCAGCCTGGTCTACAGAGTGAGTTCCAGGACAGCCAGGGCTCCACAGAGAAACCCTGTCTCGAAAAACAAACAAACAAACAAACAAACAAACAAACAAAATGTATAAATGTAGTTGCATATATGTACATACATAATTAATCTCAGAATTAGGAAAGATTTTCAATTCTGGATTGACAGTAACTATAAAATTCACAGAAGTAAAGAAAACTATGTTGGGCTATGTTAATAAATCAAATTTACATTGTAACCAAAGTTAATACAAATGATAAACACTCTCAAAATACAGTAAAAATGACTTAAAGATTTATTAAAATCAGTAGGACACTCAGGTTGAAATAGAGATAAAAACTGCATATATATATTACATAAAGGAAGTGCAAATTGCAAATATTTCAAGCCAACAGTAATTCAACACATGGAAGTTAAAATAGTCTATGAGGGTTAAAACATTTAAAAGTGTTTTTAATTATATTTATTTGTTGTTATTATTGTTAAGTAACCTTCCATTTATTGCTTGTGTCTTGGTATGAGGTTACATGTGCCATGGTATAGCCTAAGTATGGGTTCTTTAAGTATGGATTCTTTTCTTCCACACAAGCTCTGGGGATTGAACTCAGACTGATTTTCTGGGTGGCAAGACAATCAGCCATCTATGCAGATTCTCCTTGCATTCCTAGATGCCAGTGTTTATAAAATCCTCTAGCATGCATATTCCTTCTGGAAATCTACCTCGAGTAAACAATAAGATTTTACAACTGAGTAAAACTTAAAGTAGTAAGAAATGGAAACCACCAATAAGTAATTGGAGATATTGATACACTCACATAATAGACTTCAAAATGATGGTCCATATTTACATCTTTGGATGTATATGTACATAGGAAACTATGCAGAGATGATGCACAGTATATACATTGTATCCAAATACAAAGTAAGCATCTTTCTAAGAACACAGACTAAAATAATGACAACAGTTGTCTTTTAAAGAAATTGGTATTTTCTGCATCTTATATTTTACTCTGTTGACTCTCTGGAGGAAAACAGGATTCCTTACAAAAGGAGTTCAAATATTGCACTCAAAATGATAGGTTCCTAAATTCTTTCCTTACATCATAGCTGGTTTAAATATATCAGATACTGAGAGGCCTTGAGGTTTTCCAGGCGGGTTGGATTAGTTCTCAGATCAATGTTTCTGGAAGGGGATAATACAGACCATCCTTAATAGGGTGGATTTTCTGTAGGTATGTCAGTTTCATCGGTCCCAATGTACCCATCATTAAAATAAAATTAAAAAAAAGACAAAACACTGCATATGGGACCTAGATCTGAAATTTTAAGTAATCATTAGAGGAAACTTTTCTTATGTGGGTATTTGGGAAAGTCTGTGAACTCCTCTATAAAAAAGGACAGCAAGCAATTCAAGGTTGTTCTTTCAGAAGGAAAAGATTGCCTTTGTTTTCTACAGTAGTCCATTAGGTGATCTTCCCTTTCCTTATATTTTGGCAAGATTACTACATCATCAATAGAGCATGCACATACCCTTAACTCTGTTTGTCAACTTTATCCTTTAATCTCTTTGATGTCAATAGTGCTTGGTGATAAATATTTTCGAATAATATACACACCACTCTAGGTTAATAGGCTCTGCATCCATGGGTAAGCCAACCTTCTGAAAACACTCAGAAAATCGTGTGTGTGTGTGTGTGTGTTGAATGTGTATTGACTTCTTTATCATCATTCCCTAAAAAAGTACAATACAAAAATATTTACACAATAACCATAACCCAAAAATTATTTGAAGTGTATGGGGGCATGCCTACCTTATACTGTACTATCATATATGAGGGATCTAATCTGTGGATTCTGGCATCTATGAGCGGTCTTGGAATCAATCCCCATAGGCACAGAGGGTTGGATGCATTCAATATGGTCAGCATTAGATACTTATTGTTTATAATGGCAGTCACTTTTTGGTTCCTCATGTGAGAGTGTATTAAGATTCAAAATGTCATTTAGAGAGCCTTCTTCACAACAAAGGACTGTGAGCCATGTAGAATCACAATCTTTTAAGAATGAATTATTTAAAAAGTCCTTGTGTAGATCCCAACAGAGAAAATGGCAATGTAACTACTATCTCTTCCAGTACCATTTATCTGGCATCCTTAATGTCTGGAAGGTCAGTCTTTTCATGCAAAAGAGCATCAGTAAATATTACTGTCTCTCTCCACAGGTCCATGTGGGAAACTGAACCCTATCTCCATAGTAACTGGCTCCAGTGCATCTTTGCTTGATCCTAAAGAGGTAGTGATTTTTTCCCCTGTAGTTTCTCTTTGTTCTGAAAACACATCTCTACACCCCCAGCTTGGACTCACCGGCATGGTGATCTGGATGGGTTGTCGCTCTCCACTTTTGGTCGGGGCTACACCTTCTGTATCATATATGCCGGTGTAGACAACTCTTTCTCCATCAGGCTCCTTACACTTCAGCTCCAGTGGGACAAGAACACCACCAATGGAAATGTTCCTGCAATGGACTTGAGTTGCGCATAGATAGTAGGGATTATCTTAGACATCCTGTTCTATTCTAAATCAAAATCTTGGAGAGAAAACCTATAAGGTTTGACTAAAGAAGACATACAGAAACTTCAGAAAGTTCAGGAGGTTACAGTTGCCCAGCTAAACAGTAACATGACCATAGATCAATCACTTCCCCTCCCTAGACTATCTTTAGTATTCTCATGTATAAGATATCTTTACTCATTGAAATAATCTATGGAATTAAAATTCTACCTACCCACCCCACCCTCCAGAAACCAGCACCCCACTAGGCTGGGATGTAATTTGGCACTGACAAATCTTGGTGATGCATGTATGTGGATAGTTTCAAAGACCTCTGACCTAAAAAACAGGTTTTTATTATTTTTTTTAATCTTTGTTCCAACAATTGAAGATTTTCCTTTAGGTTTACTTCATTCTAGAAATTCTCAGTGGAGTCATCCCTTCATATGAAGATAAATATTATCAATGCAAAGTCCCAAACATCAATTGAAAATCTATCAGAATATAAACATTTAGGGTTCACCCTGGAAATTTCCAACTGGAAACTTTGGTGAGCCCAAATTGACTAGTTCAACAAGCTCTTCAGCTAACTCTGATAGAAACTCAATTTGGGAGTCACTGGATTAGGGCACTGGAGAAATCCTTACCACAAGGAAATGTAATTCAGAGAAAAGTTTACCAGCACCAAATCTGCTTTCAGATTAGCTTATCATCTAGTAAGCTACCTCCAAAGAAAGGGAAAATAACATGTGCAAGTGAGGGCAACATTCGACAGGGTAGAAGAGAGGGGACAGCCTGGACACAGTGCAAGGACAGTTAGGGACTGTGAGGACAATGGGTACAGGGAGCAGGGAGGTGGAGGTTTGGGGGAACACCAGAAACCATCCAAGTGTGGCTACAGATCTTTGTATGTCCGGGCTAAATAAAATAAGTTTACTCAATTCAAACTAACTAAAAGTATCTGATTATTTCAAAGCCTTTTCTTCCCTCAGCAAATGTTAGGGATCGTAAATATTGTTTTAATCTTTCTTATAGGCTAGACTTCACACAGTACTTGGGTGAAAGGTGAAGAGAAGACCTGACCCTGCAACAGTTAGTTTCAAGTGTTAACTTGATACAATGTAGAATCACCTGGGAAGGGATTCTCAAAGAGAACTGCCTCCCCAGGTTGGCCTGTGGTCATATCTGTGTGGGAGTTTTTTAAAAATTTTGTTTACTCATGGTTGGACGACCCATCTAAAAGTGAGCTGTGCTCTGGGCAGAATGGAAAGGAGGGAGCAGATGAGGGCTCATATGCATACATGCCTCAGTTCACTACTCTCTGTGCTTGACTATGGATGTAATATGACAAACTGCTTCAAGCTGCAGCTGCCCTGACTTTCACTTGATGGACTGTAACATCAAATCTGAGGCAAACAAAATCTTTCTTCAGTAAATTGATTTTTGTCAGAGTATTTTATCATAGCCACAGGAAAAGAAAGTAAGGCCCATATGTGATCTCTTTTCTAACTGCCACCATGTTGTTTTACAGTCCTCTTGTGCAGATGTTAACTACCACAGAGATCAGTACTAAGCTGACCGAAAAATTCAGACAGGAAGGAAAGAAAAGGCACAGCGTATGGAAAACCATAAAGGTGGGCCCAGCACAGGCAGTGCCCTCTAATTTTGGCCTGATGCCTCAGCTGTCATTAACCCTGGAAAGGAGAACTGAAGAGCATCCTTCAGGGAACCCAGTGACCATCTGTCCACTGAGATTACTCATTCCTCAGCCTCTCTTTGCTGAAACTCTCCATGTCTTTCTACCATCTGCCCCACCCTGTATACCTGCGGTTCTCTACAAGAAATCAAAACAAAGCAAACCCCAAAATACAGTAACAGCAACAAAAGCCCACAAATCCTAGATTCTTGTCGCAGATTTAAAGGGACTTACTGAGATGGCTGGAAGGAACCAGGAATGTAAAACTACAAGCTTAAGGCGGGGGAGGGGGCGAGGGGAGGAGGGGAGGAGTAGCTTAGGGGCAGGACATTCACCTCTTGCCCTCACCCCAGGTCCTGCTGAGCATGCGAGAGTCTAGAAGGGCCCAGTGGAGACTAGGGATGTCCTGGAGCCTCCATGCTCCTCTCATACCCGGGATATTATTGCCCTGCCACCAGCCGGCACGCCCCACACTCACTCGACCTGCAGTGTTGTGGGCTTAATCTTCACCTCCACCTTGTAGGAGGAGCCGGTGAGCAGCTTGATGGTGCGGTTCTGGCCGAAGCGCTGCCCATCCACCTTGAAGAAAACAGGGCCGTCGTTGGGCTGGATGCGCAGCGCGATGGAAAGGCGCACGATCCCGGGTAGGTCCCCCATAGCTGGTAAAGGGGCTGGCAACCGTGGACGGAGTGGTGGACAGTGAGGGCTGGAGGGAGCTGCTGCAGCTCGATGGGCGGAGGGATAAGCAGGGAGGAAGGGAGAGCCGATGGATGCAGGCCACAGCTAGGGGCAGTCGCCTCTGTCCACCCCAGATTTTGAGAAGCAGCTGGCTAGGCTGTGGCCCTCCACCACACTCAGACAAGGAGCGGGATCCAGAGACAGCACGGAGGCAGAAGGCTGCCCCATCCCCCGCTCTCCACGCAGGGCCCTGCACGCACGCGAGGGCTCGCAGTGACTGTACTGGCAGGCTGCCCCGCAAATCAGCACTGCTGGGGGCTAGAGAGTTAATCTTGTTTACGCTCCACAATCCCCTTCAGCAGGACTGACGTTTAGGCTCCTCCTAGAACAGCACCGGATACGAGGAGGATGGGGCGGGGAGGCACTGGGGCCAAGATTAATTGCTACAACAAGGAGCGGAGACCCCAGAGTCTAGGCGCCAAGGGATGTGGATTCACTTTCTAGAGGGTTTGAGTTGCGGTTTGGTGTGAAGTGGCTGACAAGGGAAGTGGAAGCAAGTGGCGGGAAACGGGGTAGGAAACTGCTAGCTAGTGATTTAAATTTCAGGAAATGAGTGCATTCTACTGAGAGCTTAGGGCAAATGGCCAGGAAGGCAGAGCTCATCTCATGTGGAGTGGAAACTACACTAGATTAGGTGGGGATAGAAAGACAGATGCGGATGCAGGTTAGTGAGAAAGGGAAGCGGGAACAGGCTGAGAGAATCCTACATTTTCATTACACATATATTGGCTCAAAATTGACACTGTAATCAGTCACATATATTTGCGCAAATCTGGATGGGCGAGTCTAACCAACTCTGTAAAAGGTAAGGTGGTGAGTTAGGTAAAGTTCGCGACAATGTCCAAGAAGAAGGATGATGTCCAAGGAGAAGGATGAGTTAAAGAACTACCGCAGAACACTTCATATGACAGCGCAGAGTCTGTGCTTGCATGCTAGATATGATTTTGAAAGGCTTTCTCTTGGATGTTGGTTGGCAGCTGAAGATTCCAAGCAGCCAAGGGAGAAGAGGTGCACGGAAATGGGTTCCTGGTGGAGAAAATGAGTTCCTTCTTCAGCACCACACAGGTGGATAGTACCACAGGCCCCACCTCTTACCTGGGAAATGCAGGATCCAATTGATGCAACCCTTTGGGACAGATACGCTGGTTTGCAACGTTGTACTCACCCAGGTTAGACTACTTATCTTTAGAGTTAATAAGCTGTGTATGTGTATAAAAATGATTCTGAGGTATTGGTGTTTACTGTAACTGTGTCAGCAAAAATCAAAACAAAACCTAAATGGACTGTCAATCTGTAAACAACGGTTGAAAAAAGACCCAGCAACATAAAGAACGGTTGAATACATTCTCACATATCTATACTATAGTTTTTTTAGTATATAATTTTAAGGTTTACCATACATTTATAGTAATCCAGAAAATATGCAGCACTGAAAAAATTGACCCTAAATTAACAGAATTATTAAATCCATAAAAAGACTCATATTTCCATGGTTTAGATATGGTTTGTTTCATAAAGGTTCTTGTGCTAGAGGGCCAGTCCCCATGTAATATCCCCATGCAATAGTAATAAAGTAGAAACTTTAAGAGGCAGGAATTAGTGGGTGATTGGAGACAAACAAAATTTGTGAGATTAATGATAATCTGACAGGAACAAATTAATAGTCATGAGAACATATTGCTATAAAAGACTGATATCAAGTTCTTTCTTTCCTTACTGCTTTCCTTTTTGGGTGGGGGTGTTGGGGATAGGGAGAGTTGAGACAGTTTCTCTGTATAGTCCTAGATGTCCTAGAACACACTCTGTAGACCAGGCTGGCCTTGAACTCACAGAGGACCACTTGTCTCTGTTTCCTGAGTATTGGGAACAAAGGCATGTACCATCACTGTTCAGCATTTGATCTTCAATCTCTCGCTTCTACTATTTTCTCTCTCTCTCTCTTGTACCACCTGGTACCCTTATTGTGTTGTGATGTAGACACACACACACACACACACACACACACACCACACTAGATGCATTATTTGAACTTCCCAGCATTAGAAAAATCAGTAATATTCTTTTTTTGTAAGTCGGATTTATATCAATAAATTCTCACTCCACAAAACGTCCACACAATTTACTCAGAGCCAATTGATATTGATAAGTTTATAGCAATAGCAATTTAGCCTACCTAGGTAAGCAAATTGTTCTGTAATTATCCATCCCTTATATGATATTCATAGCTACCTGTGACTATTTAAAGCCACGTGGAATTTGGATCATCTTCCTCTCCCTCCACCATCTTAGCAATATTCTTATATTTGTCTGAGAAGTAATATTACAATATAAACTTCTTTGCCCAAAGTTGAAGATAAGAAAATTCAGTCAAGACAGAGCCAAAACCTCAGCAATGTACTTCAAAACAAAGTACAAGAAATTATAATTACAAATTGAAGGCTCCATATAATTTCAAATTACAATTAGAAATTGAAGCTTCAGACCAAGCCTGAAGGATCCAGTTGCAAGCCTACCCTATTCTGCTGTATTTTATTTACAGGGGCTTTATGAGCCACCCTGTTCTACCTATGAGAAGGAAAAACAGAAATAAACAACAGCAACAACAACAAAACTGGAAAGCAAGCAAAGAGAAACTGAGCACAGGAGAAGCATCCAATGAGAGTGCATGAGAGTGCATGAGGTCACTCCCATTGAGTCCCGAGAGTCTCCCACCTCCCAGATCTCTGGTACTTTCTAGTGGGTCCTCCTATCTCTCACCTTTTAGGGCTACTTATTTCCATTCATTCTGCTGGCCCTCTGGGCTTCTCTCCTGCCCCACTCCCATACCTGATCTTGTTCCCCCTTCCCCCTTCCTCTCCCCTCTCATACCCAAATCCCTCCTTCCCTATGCCTCTTGTGATTATTTTCTTTCCCTTTCTAAGTGGGACTGAAACATCCTCATTTGGCCGTTCTTCTTCTTTTTTTTTCATTTTCTTTTTTTTACTGGAATTTTATTTATTTACAATATGGATATCATCCCCTTTCCCCATTTCTCCTCCCTAGAACCCCCTATCCCATCCCCCCTCTTCCTTTATGCTTTTATACCATTTTGATTACATGCATGTATTAATGTCAGTTTTAGGTTGAGGAACTAGCAATACAATAGATGCAAGTAGTCAAGGAATAAGCAAGACAATAAGCACAAATAGTCAAAGCACAAATAGTCAAAGAAAAAGCAAGGCATTAAACCCAATTATGTGAACACTCCTGTGATCACTGTTTCTAAAGGCTTATCAGGATGACCAAAGTATCTGAACCTACTTCCCTGTCCTAGCCCCAGGTCATTTTCATGTCTGAAGCCTACTTCCTTGTTCTAGCCTAAAATTTAGATTCTTGTCTGAAATTACCTCTTTGTTCTGGCCTAAGATTTAGGTTCCTGCCTGAGATTACTTCTTTGTTGTAGCCTAATGTCAGATTCCTGCCTAAAGCTTACTTCCTTATCCTTGGCCAATGTCATATTCCTGCCAAGCAGCCCATTTCCTTGTCCTTGGACAATGTCAGATATGTCAGATTCTTGCCACTCACTTGGCCGTTCTGCTTGTTAAACTTCTTAAGTTCTGTGGTTTGTATCCTAGCTATTCTGTATTTTTTTTTTTTTGCCAATATCCACTTATTAGTGAGTACATACAACGTATGCCCTTTTAGGTCTGGGTTATCTCACTAAGGATGATATTTTCTAGTTCCATCTGTTTGCCTGCAAATCTCATGATGTCCTCATTCTTAATATCTGAGTAGTTTTCCATTGTGTAAATGTACCACATTTTCTGTATCCATTCTTCCGTTGTGGGACATCTGGATTGTTTCCAGCTTCTGGCTATTACAGATAAGGCTGCTATCTATGAACATTGTAGCGCATGTGTCCCTGTGGCATGGTGTGGCATTTTTTTAGGTGTATGCCCAAGAGTGGTATAGCTGGGTCTTCAAGCAGAGCTCTTTCCAATTTTATGAGGAACCGCCAGATTGATTTCCAGTAAGAGTAGTTGTACTAGATTGCAATCCCTAGCAATGGAGGAGTGTTCCTCTTTCCCCACATCCTCATCAGCATGTGCTGTCTCCTGAGATTTTGAACTTAGCCATTCTGATTGGTGTAAGGTGGAATCTCAGAGTTGCTTTGATTTGCATTTTCCCAATGACTAAGGACTTTGAACATTTCTTTAGGTGCTTCTCGGCCATTCGAGATTCCTCTGTTGTGAATTCTCTGTTTAGCTATGTAGCCCATTTTTAAATTGTGTTATTTGGTTTTTTGGAGGTTAGCTTCTTGAGTTCTTTACATGTTTTTGATATTAGCCCTCTATCAGATGTGGGGCTAGTGAAGATTTTTTTCAAAAGGTGGAATGATGTTACCAACCCACAGTCAAAATTTGTGGTCCAGAAGTGTTCCTGTTGAAAACAACTGCAAGAACAAAAAGGGAGAAGAGACTGAAGGAAAGGTGGTCCAGTAACCAGTCCAACTGGGGATCTACATCATGGGGAGACACAGAGGTGCAAATAGTCAAGCAACAAGCAAGACAATAAACACAGATAGTCAAAGAACAAGCAAGGCAATAAACAAAATTCTATGAACACTTCCATGATCACTGTTTCTAAAGGCTTATCAGGATGACCAAAGTATCTGAGCCTACTTCCCTGTCCTAGCCCAAAGTCATTTTCATGTCTGAAGCCTACTTCCTTGTTCTGGCCTAAAATTTAGATACCTGTCTGAAATTATTTCTTTGTTCTAGCCTAAGATTTAGATTCCTGCCTGAAATTATTTCTTTGTTCTAGCCTAATGTCAGATTCCGACCTGAAGCCTACTTCCTTGTCCTTGGCCCACATCAGATTCTTGCCAAGCAGCCCCAAAGGCTCTCTGCTTCTCCCCCTGTTTTATTTCATTAACAAGACTGAGCCTGTCTTAGATTGTTCTGACAAGAATGCCTTCCTTACACATCATGGAATATGCATTATGCAAAGCAATGTACGTTTTGTCTTAGGTTGGTAAGGCTCTATGCAGAATCTTACTGTTCTTGGCTTGCCAGCCTATTAATTTAATAACTCTGTGTGGGGGTCCATTTTCAGGTTCAAGCCATGTACTTTGGCTGCCAACATGTTGATGTTGTTAAAGACAAGCTTTAACACTATAGGCAGGAATAAAAGTATTCCCAGGACAAAAAGGGCTAGCATGATCAAGCTATATATGCTGTTCTTGAAGCTTGACTAAAATAGAAATACTGACCTCAGGCCACGGGTAATTTTATCTGCAGTATCTACCAC